AGCTCTAATGATAACTTGAATATCAGACTTCTCTCTCTTTCTCATCTTACAAAACACCTTTAGTTGTTCTTTATCTTGAAAGTTGTCTCCTAGCTGCACCTGTTAAAGGTCGAAGAGGGCATGTGTGACAAATGGTGGGAGGTGCTGGGTGAAAGCCAGCTGTCTAACGTCCAAGCATCCTTACAGCATGGCATTATCCTGTGAATTTATCAGCATCTGGTCTTCAGTTTTGCATTTCCAGAAAGATCATTTTATCTGTGCTTCAGAATTTATCTGACTCATGGAGATTGACTTGTGCTCATAAACTCATAAGAAAAGCCAGAATTCTAATTAGTTAATTTATAATGAGAAATAAAATTTTCAAGCACACTAGACAGTCATGTCAGCCTAATAAAAGCATTCTCTCTGTGTAAAAAACCATATGGGAAACCAGATTATAATCAGAATGTGGTTCAGTGTTTGGAATCTGAGCCAGGGGAGTTGGTTATATGATTATAGTGATTAATGACCTCAGACTCTGATTGTAATAGGACTCTTTCAGTTGTAGGTGACAGAAACACATCATCATGGGCAAAAGAGAGGTTTATTAAAGTACTGGAATGCCTCATGGAACTATGGTGAAATTTAAGGGGAAACCTGGCTCCAGGGTTGACTGCAATCAGGAGTAAAATACCTCCAGGATTCTCTTCCTGTTGGCTCTATTTGCTCTCTCCTCTTTGCCCTCAGAGTTCCTCATTTTTTTTCCATTGGTCCTCCCATTATCAATCAGCATCCACTTGTCAGAGAGAACATTCAGTGTTTGGTTTTTCAGGATTGACTTACTTTGCTTAGCATGATATTCTCAACTCCATCCATTTACCTGGAAATGCCATAATTTTATTCTCTTTTAATGCTGAGTAATATCTAATGGATGTAAAATGGTACTTTATTTTGCTGTACTTTGCATCTCACTAATTATTGGATTTACAACAGAATTTTAAGACTGAATTTATTTCCAAATAGTAATTAGCCATGCTGGTCTTTTACATTGTGAATTGACAGTTAATAGCCTTTGTGCATTTTCAACTGAGATTTTTGTCTTGTTGATTTGTGAAAATATTTTAAAATTTATTCTAATAAATACAGGTACTGATCCTGTTTTGGTTAAATTTATAATGAATTTCTTTCTCCAGTCTATGACTTTCCTTTTATTTTTATTTTTGATGTCTTTTGATCAACACAAGTTTTGAAGTGTAATTTAGTCAATACTTCAATATTAAATGTCAAACTATAAGCTTTTTAAAAATTACACACACACACATATACATGTATATGCATATATACACATGTATATGCATGCACACATGTATGTGTATGCACACGTGTATATGCATATACATGTATGTATATGTGTATACATATGTATCTACATATGTATAGGTATATATGTATTCATACGTGTGTATGCATATATACACATGTGTATGCATATATACATGTGTATGTATATATATACTATAAGCATATATACATGTGTAACATGCATAATATATAAATACATATGTAACATTTTTGTAAGACTAACCAGTTAGTCCAGTACCATTTGATCCACCCTTCCCTTGGTAATTAACAAAGCCATTCTATCATATGCCAAGTTCTCATATTAAACAGGTCTATTTCTGAGCTCTAGAGCTTTATATTCTACTCTGTTGGTCTATTTGTATATTCTTGCACTGATACAACACTGTATTAATTACTACATCTTTATGCTATGTCTTGATATCATCTTCCTTTTCAAAGTCATCTCCTCTGTCCTTGGCATTTTTATGACTCCAAAAAGTTAAGATTTGTTTAACAAGTACCATGTAACACCTTGCTTTTGTTTTGGCTTTTCTGTTTATTTAAATATGTTGGATTTTCCTGGACTAGCAACAATCATAGGTAATTCTACCAAGGGGAAATAAGTTTGGGCAGTTTGCTCGGTATTTTAGTTTAAGAGTGCCCTCTTCTGTTAGGATATTGAAGTAAAGTTAATTTAATTGGTGACACTGGATGGAGAGTAGAAGGCGGAGGGAGGAAGGAGGGGTACTGATAATGTGGTATCACCTTATAGTTCCATGATCTTTAATTTCTGGTGTTTGATTTTTTTCCCACCTTCCCAATTGCCCCTATTTTCCCCAGAAGCAATACCTTCTCTTGACTGCCGTTCTGGTCCTTTGTACTTGGCAAATCATGGTCCAGATCCTCTAATTTGAGACTTTTCTCAGTATCTCCCCACATCAGGGAAAGATGCTCTCTTTCTGGAGATGATGTCATCTGTGTCCTACCCCTGCCTCATAAGGGACCTACTACCTTCTGCTCTCTTCCATGTAATCCTGCCTGACTCTGTCCCAGCATGGGCTTTGATCTGACTCTGCACATTGATTGTGGATTGTTCCGCCTGCCTACATGTAAATTGAAACTTGTAATGTCGAAAGAAAAAAAAATTATAACAAATTTAAAGCTCTTAGTTGGCTTTTACTTGCAATTCTAGAGTCAGGTAGCACTTCATCCTATAAAATAAAATGAGCTGTTCAGAGGTTGGTTTTAGAGACAGAAGGCTGAAGAAACAAAGAACCAAAAGTGGGATGGTTGTTTCAAAGTTGTTTTTGTTGTAAAGGGTAAAACAGAGGGACCTCCCTTGTTATACTATCTAAAACTGGTTTGCGGAGAGAGATATGGCTATCAACTCTCTATCTCTCCTTAGTTCTTGGCAAGTCAAATAAACAACTTGGTTTTGGCTTGGTGGCATGGAAACTCAGCATGAGATTTCATTTTGGTTTGTTCTTTTGGGCCTATTGTCGAAGCTCAGTTCAAACCAATGATTTCTTATACATTTTATTTAATAATAGTAATCTCTATCCTCTATTATGCTTCAATTATAGGTATGTGTATGATTTAATTTTCTTTGTTGTTGACATGTAAACAAGAAAGCTATATGTACAGATTTGGATTTAAGCAACCAAAGGTTGAAAAAAATGTGTTAAAATCTTCCTCTATGACTGTACATCTTTCATTTCATCTTTGTGATTCTGTCTTTTTATGCTTTATGTATTCTATACATCATTGGTTTATTGACTTAGGACTATTATATATCATCTTGGTGACTTGTCCCTTTAATCAGTTAGTAAATATCTCTTTAACAAGTAACTTTGGACTCTAAGTCTTATATTTGCTGTTAGTATAAGAATAGAGTTTCTTTTAGAAAAGTGTTTATATAGATTTATAGACTTTTACTTTCAAGCTTTCTTTGAAAATAATTTAATGTTGAGTATTAAAGCACATACTTGGACACTCAAAAATAATTTGATGTTCAATTTAAGTCTGAGAAAATGTCTTCACTAATGAGTTTAACCATTTTACTTTCATTGTGGCTGCTAAGATATTTTATGATTTTAATTTGTCCTATAGGTGGAAATCATTTTTTCCCAATTCCTTTTATTTTCTTTTCCTTACTTTTTAAAGATTGATTTTTCTTTTTAAAATCTCATTTACCAGTTTGAAAGTTACACATCCAATTTTTCTTTTGACAAACAGTGCTCAAAACTCTGGTGTGCAACAGGAGTCACCTGGCAGGATTATTATACTACGCTTGCTGGGCCCACCCATGGAGTTTCTAATTCAACGGGCTTGGGGTAGGACCCAAGTGCATTTGGCCCTCCATATCCACAGTTTCCCATCTGCATGTTCAACCAGCTAGACTGAATATATTTTTTAAAAGTGTGTCTATACTGAACATGTACAGACTTTTCTCTCTTTAGTATTCCCTAAATAATGAGTTATAAGAATTATTTATGCATCATTTATATTGTATTAGGTATTATAAGTAACCTAGAGATGAATTTCAGCTCATAGGAGGATGTGCACAGATTATGTGCAAATACTACATCATTTTAAATAAGGAATGTGAGCGTCCACAGATTTTGTTATCCACTGGGGTCCTGGAACCAATTCCCCTGCAATACCCAGGGATGACTGTATTTGCATTTTCATCATGTTCCCTGGTGCTACTGTTGGGGACAACACCTAGAGGTGGTCATTACCAGGTTAAATACTAGCAACGGTAGCTGATAACCCATTTGAGTTGGACTTTGTTATTTTAGAATTCTTGTTAAAATGTCTTACTTTCCAAAGAAATTAGGTGGTTTCCTTGACCATCTAGGCCTGTAATATTGCCAGGAATAGAAGTAGGGTTGTAATTGCTCATAGGAGAATAATTTCCCCTTATCCTAAGCTCCAGGAGGAGACTTTCTTGCAAGTGTTTCTGGGCTGGGATCTGTGGTTTCTCTGGTCTCTTTTATGTAGAAGTGCAGACTTTACAGATTCTCAGCTGCAAACTGGAGTTTAGCTCTTTGTCTCATGTGAAGCTAAGGCTGCTTCTCTTGACCTGAAGTTAAAACTCCCCCTCCAAGACTGGGCCAACAGCTTTTATGATTTCCCCTTGTAGTGAGCGTCCTTTTCATTTCTCACATCTCTGTGTTTCCCTTTTGAGCTTGGCTAGTCTTGTCCTTTTGTGTGTGTGGAAGTGTTCCATCCAGCATTTCAGTGTGTTTAAGGGGGTAGGGGCTGGGTATAGTCAGAGTTCTCAGTTTACCTAGTTGTCTTCTATTGTCTCTTCAGCTGTCATCCTAAAGAGAATGTGGAGAAAAGGGCCAAAAAGGTTTCAGAATCAGGTAGAGAGTAGTAAAGAGAATTCCTGGAATGCAAGTTACCTGAGTTCAGGGACTTGGGAGTTGGTAGCCACAAATTTTATTCACATAGAAGAGTAGTAGGTGGTGCTATATTGAAGTAATTGAAGGAGGGATACCTGCTGGTCGTAGGTGATACTATAAAAAGAGCCTGGGGCAGTTGTAGGGTTTAAATATTTTGTTGGGGCCAGTCTATCCTGATGTTTTTATTTCATGCAAAGTTTATAACACTAACATTTTAAAATTTCTTCTTTTTCGGAATCCTTTTATCAGATGTTGACTTATCCCTTTTAGGTATACAATGACAACATACGCTGAAGATTATGTTCCACCACATGATTATCCGCCACATGTGAGTACAAGAACCACAATCTAAAATTTATGTACTTAAAATGACAGATTGCATCTAGTTAAACAGTTGATCTCGTGAAGAAAGAAGTTGCTGAGATTTATGATGTTTTATATTTATTTAGATATATTAGCTGTTTGTGAAAGTCAATAGAATATTTTATGGTTATAATTTATTTTTGGAAGCTTATAGATTTTAGGGTGGAAAATATTGCAGTGTCCAAAACATATTAATCACTTTCTTTCTCATCTCGTTTATTGCTCCCATCTTAAACTTAATTTATTTGGAATGAGAACCTACCTTTTATTTGTATCTTATGGACACATGAATATGTGGCTTAATTTAGCTCTGGGAAATGTGTATGTTGATTTTTAAAAGGTCCAGTTCAAATTTAAATATATTTGTACTTTAAGAACTATACAGTAGGGCTCAGTTGTATAGCTCAGTGGCAAGGTATTTGCTTAGCATGTGTGAGACCTGGGTTGATCCCCAGTATCAAGAAAATGAAAAAATAAAAGAAAATATGCAACAAAATTAGCTTTGCTTAGAAGTTTTAACCAATAAACATGAGATAGAAAAAAGATATTTAAATATTGATAAAAAGAAAAATAAGACATTGTTATGTTCAGATTCTGTGATTATCTACTTAGGAGAACCAAGATATTAAAACTAAGGAATAATTAGAATGAATAAAATAGTTTTCCTTCATACCAGCATTAACCAGGTAGTAAATTAAAAAGGAAAAAACATACAAATTATTACAGTAACACAGATTTAAAAATACTTTTATGAAAAAATATTTACCAAGGTGAGTAAAAGAAGATGTGATGTTTCATCTCCAAAGAGGGCAGAGGCTACTTTCCCATCAAGAGGTGATTGATCGTCCCTCTGTCTCTTGAATCTGGACTGTCAGGTGACTGATTTGGTTAGTAGGGCATTGCAGAAGTGTCCCTGAGTCAGCTGTAAACCTTACCTTAAGAACACTGCTTCTGCCTCTTGACATGAATTACCATGTAACAAATCTAGGCTACTCTGTTAAAAAGAGAGGCCACAGGGAGGAACATCCAGGAGCTTGTCTTAGAAGTGAGCAAGTCATCTTGGACCTCCAGCTTGTACCAGACTCCAGCTGACCCTGACAGGGAAACCCCGAGAGAACACAGGGGCAGGAGCTGCTAAGTTCGTTTATTTGTTTTTTAAAAATCAAAAAATAACTGAGACAGAAATCTTGAATGAAAAAGAATAGCTAGCATTTAAAGGAACTGAAAAATTAATAATAAATTAAATTTATAAATTTAATATAACTCCAGTGGTTTGTTTTCCATCAGAATTTAGGATTCTAAGAATTACTTGAAGAAACAAATAGATGAGAATAAAATATATATAATAATTTTAAGGAAGTAAAAGACTTATAATATTACCTTTACTATATATTAAATTCTTATTTAAAAATAGCATTCAAACCAGAAAAACAGCAAATACAATAGTTTAATATATTGATAAACTCAATACATACAGAACTCAGACTTATGGCAAGGAAAATGTTAAAAACATTAGAGAAACAATCAAAGGACATATAAAGGTAACTTACAAAAGTATGAAATATAATTAACTAATAAATATAGGTAATAAACCAACTTACAAATAATAAAATACACGAGTTACAATAATAAGATTTTTTTTTACTAAAATATTGGCAATATTTTTAAAAATAATAATCCTCAGTGAGGTGAAGAACAGAGTGAGATGTGTACTTTATCTGTTGCTAGGAAAACTAAATTGTTTCAATCTTCCTGGAAAGGGATTTGGCAATATGCATTAAGATTCCATTTGACCTAATAATTTTCCTTCTAGAAAATCTCCCAATGAACAATTAATCAAATGAGAAACAAAATTTATATCAAAATATGCTAATTACTTAATTATTTATATGGCAAAATTTGGGAATATCTAAATATTTCTATTAGGAATGGTGTTAACTATAATCATATGATGAGATATTGTACAGTCTTTATAATGCCATAGATAGTTCTTAGTGTCTTAATAAATCTTCATTGAAGGTTAAAAAAATTAAGATGTCAAATTATGTATTAAGTTTACCCTAAATAGTTAAAATATAGAGGAAATTTAAAAACTAAAAAAAATGTTGAAGTACTAGTAAATTTGGCCATTGAATGTTGAGATTCCAGGTGATTTTCTTCATCTTAATCCTTTTTAGAATTTTCCCATACAATAAGCATTATCATTAATAATTAGAAAATCATAAGGAAGTATATTATTTAAATATACACTTCAGACCTATTTCCTTATTTATAATGGCCCTCAATCCTTGAGCAAAAGGAAGTTGCATGACACCTAACTAAACACAAAAGGGGCTGGGGCTGTAGCCCAGAGGCAGAGCGCTTCCATAGCACGTATGAGGCACTGAGTTTGAACCTTAGCACCACATAAAAATAAACAAATAAAATAAAGGCATGCTGTCTATCTACAACTAAAAAATTAAAAGAAAAAGAAACTCACAAAATTCAAAGAACTAAATATAATAAATTTAAAGAATGTGAGCTTTATTTTCGGGGCACATCAATTTTTACCCATTATATTTTATGTTCCTGTTTTTAATATTTTCAGCATTGTTTCTAATATTTCTCGCTTTGCTTGTTCCCACATCAGTAGCACAGCATGCTATAGCAGTTATTTAGATTTATTGCAGACTTCTGTTTGTTCACTTCTAACTTCCGTGCCAGAGTAAATGATTTCAAGGCATACTTTTAGCACTGCTTCTAATATCCACATTTAATGAGTGCTTGCATTATATTGTTACAGGATACAAAAAATATTTTAAATTATAATAACAGTAGATGGTTAAAACCCAGCAGTGGAGTGATGGAACTCTGACAATGAAGTTACCATGCATGAAAATGTATGACTCACAAAATATTGAAAAAGAGCATATTTGCTGACTTCCTAGAGTCATGGCATGTGGCCTTAGCAGAAGTTAGTTTCACCACTCATTCATCCTACTATGTTTGCCATTATGTAATTCTCGAAGAAATATGAAAGCTTTTGGATGCCTATTATTTCAAACATGCATGAACCTATCCTTCAATTTTCATATTATGTTCTGTTACATTTTCTTAATTCACTTTTATATAAAGTGGGACAGAATTATTGGAGGTAAAGGGAATGCAAGTTGTCATCTAATAGCTCTAAATAAAGACAAGGAAAGATAGATAAAGACAAAGAAAGCTAATAAGTCATTTCCAAGGAGAGGAATGGAAAAAAATTGTGATCTGTATCTTCTGAACTCCATTTCTTAAGCTGGAGGCTCATTAATGCATCTCAATTTTGCTTACAGATATCTTCTCTTAAAAGCTTCTCCATATCCTAAAGAGCTAGGACAGAGGATAAGTTGCAGAGAAGGTATATTAGAGAATGGGTCCAAGGCTGATGGATGGATGTGCAAGTCCTTAGGACAAGGCAGCAAGCTGAGGATAATAGTAGAGTTTACTGACTCTAGTGAGATGAGCAAGGAAAAGAATTAGTTTGGCTCAGGGACTGGCAAGCTCAGGAAGTTAAAAGGTCAAAGACACAAAAATATAGATTAAAAAAAAATAACAACTGCAATATGAGAGCAGCTACAGGAGTGAGAGAGCTAGAAGAGGTCATGATTGAAGAGAGGTGTATTAGCATTTACTCTATTTCAGAGGTAGGACAGTTCTGGAAAATGACAGAGGATAAGGTGTGGCCATGAGAGTGAGTTTCTAACATGTATCAAATTCATTAATTTGAAAAAGTGAAGGCATGATAAACCAGGATGTTGGCTAGATCCAAAGTATGGATGTTGGAAATTAATATACAAGAGGGCAGGACAGAGGGCAGGGCCAAAGACTGTGAATCAGATGACCAGCCCCCAGTGAACTTCAGCAGCACCTGAAAGTTGGTGGCTCTTTCCAGCCATGCAGCTATCAATTATTCAGTCACAAGTATAAAGCATCTTTTTGTCTTTTTTTCTGGAATTGCCTTTTGAATTGTCTTTCTAGGTGTATGAGTATTTCCAAACCCCAAATTGTTGTATAATCTAGTTAATTTATAAATAGAAAGCTGAGGAAGTTTTCAATTATTATGTTTTAAAAGTTAGCCTGCATTCCAAATGGACCTCAGCACTGCATGCACTGTCTTATAGTAAAGAAAAGAAGCTGTTCTGTTTTAGAGTTATTTATAACAAAAGCAGGATTGGCCTGCCCTACCCCTGGGTCTCTGTGCACTGGGATGCACATAGCATTGTTAAAATATTGTATTTCTGTGCTGATTGGAAATTATCTGTGGTTTGAAATCCTCTAGGACCCTGCTGGCCCAGACCTCCCTTGGATCTCTGCACTCAGCAGTGCATGATGATTTTCCTTGGCCTGAAACACTTTACCTTCATAGGCGCCTCCCTCCATTACAATAGATAAATAGAAAAATATATTTTTGATTGAGTTGGTATAAAGACAAATATAATTCACTTGGATTTTTTCCCTTGGGGGGGACATTTAAAGCTTATTAAAAAATATATATTTTAGGCTCTATTTCTCATTAGCATTTTTGCAGAGAAACCCTCTCCCCTTTTTTAAACACTGCTTGAATCCTTGCCTATTTGTCTTGTGAGGTTTTTTTTTTTTTTTGGTACCAGGGTTGTGAGCCTCGGGGCACTTAACCACTGAGCCACATTCCCCAGCCTTTTGATTTTTTTTTTAAGATGGGGTTTTGCTAAATTGCTTAGGCCTTCCTAAATTGCTGAGGCTGTCTTTTAATTTGTTATCCTCCTGCCTCAGCCTCCTGAGCCAGTGGGATTACAGGTGTACCACTGTGCCTGGCTCTGTATTGTATTTTTATAGCTGTATTTGTGAACCTGTTATTGTTAACCCTCCTGAAATTATTACCAATGTACCTACCACTGAGTATTTTTGCATAAAACTAAAGTACTTAATACTCACTTTTTTCCTGGGAAGTACTTTTTGACTTTT